AGCAGTAATATTTGAGGAATTGGCTGAAGAACATGGAGGACTTGAAAAAAGAACATGGAGGTTTTGAAAAGAGAACATGGAGGCATTGTTAAAGAACACACAGTTCAGGTAGATGTCAAGGATCCTATCAAAAAAAGGAAAAAGGGTCAAAAGAATACTAGGTGGAAAAGCACACAGGAAAAGGTTTCCAACAAGCTCAAAGGTCAAAAGATAAAGTCATGGAGAAAGAAAAGCGCAAAGGGTGTTTCAAAGATGAAACGAAAAGCACAGACTACGATTAAGGTATATATTGTTCTTATATATATTATATTACATTTTTTATGGTTACAACTTGTTCTTTCATTTTATACATATTGTTCTTTTACTTAAATAATTTTTTTTTTTTTTTGGAAGGATTTCCTCCCTGTACCTGATGGAAATGTTCTGGCACATTCCAACGAATTTGGAGGATCTTTGGAGTTTTTTGAGCCTGATGACTATTTTGGAGTGAATATTAGAGAATTATAAATGATATTGTACTATTTAGTCTACGTTAACAATTTTTTTTATTTCATATTTGTCCTTATATTTTTTTAAAAATTTTTTTAATAAGATCTTATAAATTAGAACACTCTATTTCAGTTTTTTTTTTTTTTAACAAGACATATTTTGCATATTAATGGTGGTTACTGTGGCCTATAAAAAGACATATTTTGTGTTAGTTTATAAGACATATGATGCAAAATAACTAGAAATAAAATTTCACTGAACAAAAAGAACATCAGATGTTTTTAAAAGAACATTGTATGTAATCAATAGAACATTATATGTTAATAAAAGAACATTGTTTGTAATCAAAAGAACATTGCATAAAATCAGAAGAAAACATGTTGTATAAAGAACATTGTACATGTTCATTCTATTCTTTCTTCCAAATCAATATGCTTCCAAAGTTTATTAGCCCCAACTATACAAAAAATAAACAGTGCTAATTGTTCAACATCCACCAAATTTTCAAAAAGACATACTTGTTCAAAAACTAACACAAGTGTCTCTAATCATTCCTAATTTCCTTGAAATATTTCTTGGCCTTCATGCTAAAATCTGCATGGCGCTTATTCACTTGATCCACAAGAATCTCATATGTGTACTGCATTCTAAGTGCCTTCAATGCATCAAACTGTTCACCCACAAAAAAGAAAAAAAAAAACAAAAGAATAACATTAATGTTTGTTATTTTCTTAAATAAAAAAATACAAAATATGATAATATTACATTATCAGCCCTCAAGCCACAATTCCATTTACGCTTCCCGAAGTATGTCTCCATGTGGCGCATTGCGTATATTCTGCAATCAACATTGTTGTCCAATGTTCTCCATGGCATGTCTACCAATTTTATTTCATAGTTGAAGACTTTTTCCCATAACTTCATCCCATGTTGTTTCAGGTACATTGAGAAGGCATGCCTCTACCATACACAACGAAAGAATATAAAAGTTAGACAGAAAGAACACTATATATTTTAATTAAAAACATACATTATTTATAAAAGTTAAATAACATCCTTACCAACTTCTCTGGATAGTCATGGTACTTTTCTGAAAAAGGAACACCCTCTACAAGTGGTCTGTTATCCAAAGTTTCCACAACCTTTGATTTTGTATTTATGACCATCACATAAAAGTGGTCGTGCGCATACACAGGGAAAAACAACTGAAACAGGCAGATAAAAAAACATATAATTTAAAAAAAAACATTGAATATACTATAAAGAACATGATATAATCATATAAGAACAACACACGTATATAAAAGAACAATCAAAGAAATAAAAAGAACATAGTGAAGGAAGTCACAGAAAATGTGTAACTAATCCATGAAAAGAAAATATACTAAAATCAGAAGAACACTACTTAAAAATTAAAGAACATATACTAAATTCAGAAGAACACTACTTTAAAATAAAAGAACATTATATGACTTACCAGCTGATATCCTTTAACTGATTCTATATTGCAATCAATTAGCCAATATCTGATTGTCTCTTCGAATTTAACATATTTGATACCATATGTAGCTTCTTGACTATCATCAACATACGCATCGCTCACGCATAACAAGTTCTATGTTTTATAAAAACAAAAGGATTAGAATCAAATTAATAATATATCCTAAAAAAAATAGGGATCAAAACCAATTTATAAAAAATGAATACACATAGAACACTGTGGGCAGTAACACGTGGGCCGTAACTACCCAAAATTACCTCCTTATTTCACGCGTTCTTTGTTTTCATCGTAATGTTCTTTAAAATCCACATGTTCTTTGCATTGTTACTGATGTTCTTTCCGCCTTTTTAACCATGAATTACTATTTTGCGTTTCACTTATTAAAGGGTGTCGTTTTGGGGCGTGTGTACGATGCGCATCGTACAACCGTGTGTATAAACCACCCATTATTTTTTTCTCTCTCTCTACGATTGTACACTCTCTCACATAATAGCCACCCTAAATGGTTAATAGTTGGCTATGCTCTAACATTTACCCGTAAAAAAAAAAAAGTAACATTTAAGCGGGATGCAATCTAACATTTTTTTTGGGAAATTTTGACATTTGTTATCAGGAAAAACACTTCGATTCACATTTGTTGCCAGTTTAATTTTTTTTTTACCACCTAAATCCCACATTGTTAAATTTCACTACTGATGCCTAATATTGTTACTATTTCCGTTAGTGGGGCCCGACTACCGTTCAGCCACCTTCCAACCACCCCTCTATCCCCAACCACCTCACTACCACCTTCCTAGCCCCCATCAATGCTGCCCCTCCCCCTCCTGTTGCCGACGGTCGGCACCGGCGACCCCACCCCCTTCCCTTTCCTCCACCAGCCAACCCCCCTCCCTTTTCCTCTCCTTCCAACCACCTTCCCTACTAGCCACCCTTTTTCCATCCACCCTCACTTCCAACCACAACAACACCCACTCCACCTTCACCCCTCAGGGCACGCATTCACCAGCCGCACCTAACATCAGCCACCAATTCAGACCCCCACAACAAATCAGCCGCTACGCCCCATTTCCAATAGCAACGAGCATCGACCGTCACAACCCAACTCAAGCCACCGAGTGCAGCAACCACCACCATTAATTAATCTGCTCGCCACACACAACCAATTACAGCCCACAAACACCACCACCGTCACCAATTTCGCATCTAATTTGAAAAACCTAGCCATTGAAAACCCCTGATTTCGAAGGGTAAGAATTTGGTAGGGCGGCCAAGCGGAGTAGGAAAGGGGACGGGGTGGGGTCACTGGCGCCTGCCGTCGGCAAGGGGGAGGGGAGGGATGGCTGACGGGAGGGGGCTGACGAGGCTTGAGGGTGGATGTTTTTTTTATTATTATTATTATTATTATTATTATTATTATTATTTATTATTACTTTTTTTATTAAACTTAACAGATCTTAACGGATTCCATCTAGTGGTAATGAAATTTAACAATATGGGATTTGGGTGGTAGCAAGTAAATAATAAAAAAAATTTAAACCGGTAGCAAATTTGAATCGAGGTGTTTTTTCGTATTAGCAAATGTCAAAATTTCCTTTTTTTAAAAAAAACCTAAACCTAACATTTTTATAACTCTCAATAATTTTCTTATAATTATGTTATTTTTAAATCATAAAATTCATTTCATAAAGTAATTTAAATTGAGATTTATTTATGATGTATTTTAATTGATTAAAAAAAAAGTTCACATTCTAAAATGATTGTTATAATGTACTTTGAAATTTGTAAAATTAGGTTACTAAATTCAATAATTGTTTATAAAATTAACACTAAATTAAATTTTTTGACTTTTGTAAGTTATATCCATATCAATTGAATGTTAAATAACAACAAAAATGACAAGAAAAAATCACATTAAGAATAATCAACATGTGTCGTTCTTGACAAATCTTATTGAAGTATCCATAGAGTATCTATTAACAAATCTTTAAACCTACTCTGTAGGACATAAGCTTATATTTATATATCTAGACAATCTAGTGAAATCCATGTCTTTTGAAAAAACACCAATTTAGATAGCAATTTTTATTAAGTACTACAATTTAACTTATTTTTTGAAGGGAAAAAAGTGATGCCAAAAATAACTTAAATATGTATCAACCCCGATTTACTAACTAATAGTAAATAAGAATTAAAGGAAAAATAAAAAAAAAACTTTGAATAGAATTGCAGAATTATACGCCTAAATCGGAGGTATTACTGTCACATTCAACAACCTATCAAGTGTTAAGGCTTACAAAATCCCAATAATTACAACTTAATAAACTAGGTGAACTATTTATACAACTTTATAAACTCGTTATAAAATGCTAATCGAAACACTTGAGCTCCTTTAGCTACGATCACTTGATCAACCTGTTACAACCTTGACAAATTCCAAAATAGATCGTCGCAGGGCCACCATAAGAAAAAAGACATGACCGCAAACACAAGTAGCACAACAACAAACAAACACACACGTTAACAAAAAGCTAAGTAATCACTACATTAATGGAATACAAAGAAAAATAGAATTATTAATATTACTAGCTCATCAATTAATCAATGTAGTTTGAAACTACATTACACATTGTACTCTGGAAATTGCCTTTCTTAAACTCAACCTCGAATAGCAATAATAACTCTTACTCAACTCATTTGTCCCATAAGTGTACCACACCTTTTGTTTTATATCTACCCTTGGACATGGGTAATTTGAATAACAAACCAACAAGTATAAAAACTTGAATACTCTCAATAACCAGAAAAACACCTTGAACCAGACCACATACGGGGCAAATCCCACTGTAGGGAACCATATAAAATTATAAATAAAGATTGTACCTCATTCGTAACTCATAATTATCATCTCCTTACCAACATGCCAAGGACTAAGGTCTAAAACGCCGAGCCTTAAACCATGAACAAAATAATATGCTCAACCTTTTGATCTCATACTTCGATCAAATAATCATTTGCAAACTAATTTATTATATCTCAATAATGACATATGTTCCCAAATAACATAACAATTCGATTCATAAATATCTCAATTCTTAAAAAAATAATACCAATAACCCAAATATAATCAAATCTCAACCCAAAAATAATACTCCGCATTAGTTACCCTAAACCTCAAAACAATACTCCCTAAAACAACAACATTAAAACCCTAGCATAATCAATTATAAAAAAATTAAATATAATACAATATTCAAATCCAATTAGATCATATAATATCATAATAATTAATCATATATATATTTTAGTATGAAATAAGAACTTACCAGAAGAAACAAATTTGACTTTGTTTTACAATTATCACACATTTGGCAAAAAGGAAAATAACTGCTTTCTTTCTTTTTTTTTTTTTAATAAAATATCTTTTGAGTGTTAAGAATATTATTTATAGGGTTTAAATAGTTTATGTATCTTTTTTATAATTGTAGAGTCTTATTTAAACAAAATAGGGTTTTAATTTTTCGACTCTAAAATAAAAATATAAACTATTTTTTATAAAATATATTACATAACATCATAAAATATGCTGGTATTACAATATGACCCTTTTTTCAGCCTAATTTCAGTTCAGTTCAGTTTAGCTTCAATTAGTTTATTTCGATTTAGTTCCTAATTTCCGTCTCTCATAAATAATTCAGTTCAGCTCAATTCAATTCAGATCAGTTCAGTTCAGCTCATTTCAGTAAATCAGAATAGGCCCTTAATGTGAAATATTTATTGTATACCCAATTTATTGAAAAGATTGTGACCACATTATGGGATGGAGAATCGAAAATTGTACTTCATATGGTTTATTGTGTTAATTAAACCAAAAGTACGTGAGGGGTAACATATATGAGATATATGAATGAGCATGGGTCATTATGATGTAATAGGTAAAATTTGTAAAGGTCAAACCTTTTTATATACTTCCTCCATTATTTTTTATTTGTCCCACTTTGACTTTTACACTATTCACTACCCATTATTTGACCGTCTCTTATGAATTATTTTTAAGGAAAACCATATTTATGTGAGGTGTTGTTAAAATCCTCTCAATAAGTACTATCATAATATAACTTTTATAATATTTACTTATGGAGAATTAAAGTTAATGATAATTAAAACTATGCATTGACAAGCGTGATAAAAGAATAAAGTAAGTATCTATTTCTAAACTTTTTTATTCAACATTGAATTAAATTTATGACACGGGGTACTGTGATAAGATGGGTACACTTTATTGTAATGATTAAAGTACTAATGTAAAGTATTTCACTATTATGCATTAAGCTAATACTTCCTCCGTTTCTATTTAGTTGACACGTTTGATTTAGGCACATATATTAAGGAGAGGCGAGAGTGTGAGAGAGAATCATAAATTAAGTGGGGTAGCTTGAAAATGCAAGGTTAAAAACTTTCCCCAAAAGGAAACGTGTCAACTAAAAAAAACTTCCTAAAAAGGAATACGTGTCAACTTTAAAAAAAAACGGAGGTAGTATAACCTTAGAGCATTCACAATGAATAGCTACATATCTTGTAGCTTTGGGTTGCCACATTATCATTTTCAAATTACATCAATATAAGCTAAAACCTCCATAATGGCTTGCTACCACCTCTTGTAATTTAATAGGTTCCACATATTATTTAACTTTTCCAATAAATTAAAAAGTAGATTAAAAAAAAGGAAATAAATGAAAAAATCATAAATAATTTAATCATTCAAAATGGACAACACATGTTTTAGGTGTACTGAAATTATATAGCTTTGTATCTTTAAAAAAAAATTTAAAAAAATTACATAGTTTTGTAGAGTTATGTAATTTCACCAAAGTTATAAGTTTATAACCCTCTACAATGGTGAGCTACTAACTCTAACTATTAAAATTTACAAGCAAGGACCTCTTCATATTGTGGATGCTCTTACTTAATCTTATGAGATTTGATATTTGCACGGATACTATACTAGTTGCTTTTTTTTTTGAAAGCTATTAAGATAGCAAGAGCTTTTATTAGATCAAATCAAATCCATTTACGCCAAAATGTGAAGGCTTTGAGGAAAGAAACCAATACTAGTTGATACACAAGTAATATTTATTGCATTATACGAGTAATATTTGTTGCATTATATTATCTGCATATCTAATGAAAAAATTAAAAACACCATTTGTATAATTGTATGACCTAGATAGGTCTGGTTTTAGCGCTATGCTAAACTAATTCAATTCAAGAAGCAACAGGACCTTCCTTGGAAAAGGGTCAACATAAAAATAAAAACCCTGGTAGAACCCTGGGTTTGGTTTAGAATCTATCGAAACACACATCAATGGAGGAAAAAGACGAAGGTATTCCGAACAGAGAGCTCTATGCTTTGCTTAACATCTCCCCAGATGCTTCTACCGAACAAATCCGCAAAGCTTATCGCCAGTGGGCTCAGGTCTATCATCCTGACAAATACCAAGCTTCTCATGTACTCATCTTTTCTCTCTTTTCCCTTTTTTTTTGTTTATTTGAATTTGAATTTGAATTGGTCCACAAACTATATGATTTTGATGGACTAGTTACTGTTTCATAATACTTATGTATTGAATCTTGGAAATTTATCAATATCTTCTATGTGCTGATTGTTTTGTTTAAGCAGTTCATATTCCGATGAATAATTATTTTGGTCATATTCTTATTGTTGCGCCCCTAATTTCTTCTGAAATTTGAAGGGAAGCGGTTAGTGTTTGTGTCTTTTGTTGGGTCACATTTAATTAATTTGCAATTTGAATTGATTTTTTTTAGTGTAGATATTGTTAAAATTAATGAGGAGTTGCAGTTGGTGATCAATTTTCCCCTAATTCAAAATAAAGACGGTGGTTACTGATACAGAATGTAGCCATTGTTATGGAGTCAGCGCGAGTAAGATAGGTTATTGGGTACAGAATGTGGCCATTGACTTTGTGGGGCTCCGTACAAAACACCCTCCAAGCTTTGGGATTGTACTGAAATTCCTGCTCGATGGAGCATTTTCTGTTTAATCTCTCCAAGCTTCATGCTGTTACTTATAGCTCATGAAATAGATTTTAGCTTTGGAAGAGTGCATTAGTCTACAAAGTTAGGTACCTGATTGAGTCTTTTAATTACATAATTCAAATATTGCCCTATTTTGTTCACCTTATTCTCACTTATCTTGGGGAAAAAAAGTTCAGCTTAGATAAGTTCAGGGTTACTCAAGTTCAAATTATTTCTAAATTAAGTCATGATAAAGTCTAATAAGCTGTAAGGTGAATAACCATTTGCTAAAGAAATATAGGTAAATCCTACTTTTTCCAACCTTTTGTTGAATGTCTTTGTTTAAATAATACTATTGCTAATATTAACCACCTAATATGATTTTATCATAAGTATACAATAAGGATTTAGATATTAAGTACAAAATATTACATGTAAAAATAGATATAATAATTCGCAAATATGAAAGGATGAGATTGATAGTTGGGCTTGGCACCCCGACTAACAACAACAACAGTGAGTGATTACGGTGTTTAATATCGTCTTCTTTTGTGACTAAATTTCAAATAAAGGTAGTATATCTGTATTTCCGCGTTAATGTATAAACATTGATACTAATATTAATAAGTATCAAAAACTACTAATTTATTGGCTTATCATAATTTAAGCTAATGAATTATGGAAAAATGACATCTCTATTAGTTATTGAACTTAATTGGAGATGATTTTTATTGTATAAATTTATTGAATGATTGGAAATTTATATTTTTATTTATTAATTGATTGTACTCATTGACATAAATAAAATAATGTAATACTACCTCCGTTACATATTATTTGCAACGATTTGATATAAAGTAGAGAGAAAAAATGTCTAATCGTTGCAAATTATTTGAAACGGAGGTAGTATATTTATTTGTGGACATAATTTAAGTAATTGATTGTTGAACTTTTTTTATTCTTTGCTGATTGTTTAATCCCCTTTTTTTGCAAATCGATTGACTTTTTTAATTTCCTCAATTCTATATTTGAAGGATGAGGTATTTTAGTCTTCATAGCGGACACCACGACCCCGTACCTTGACGTACATAAATCTTATTGTGAAGTCTTTGTACATTCTATGGAGTAATTAGATCTTGTACATATGTTTTTTTTAAATCTAACAATACTAGGAATTTTTTTGTTTTGATTTTTTTGGGGAAGGTTTTTTTTTTTTTTTTTTTTTTCCTCAAGAGGAAATGGACTTCATATTGATTAAGTGCAACATATTCTTGTTGGAGTTAGCTATTTCCATTGCATCTGGGAAGTAGCACATGGTAATCTTAAATATTTGATGGACTTTTTGCTTACACTCGACCTTAGATAGGTACATTATTTCAATGCTATAGTCCTTATGGTCCTATTCCTTTGCACGGACTCTATAAAAAAAGATGATCACCTTGAGCATCTTTTGCTTTTTAAAGTGCTTTAATGGAAGTTTTCTTTAAGCAGTCTGTGATCTATTAATCTTTGGCCTTCAACTTTTATGTATGGCTATTGAAGGTCCAAGATCAATGTGCTAATCTCCACGAAGTTCATGCCCTTTGGATAAAGAGATACTTGTGCAAGATGTCGTAATTGAAGATCAGTGAGTCATATGTATTAGTATGTAAAACAGCTTATCATAAGTCCTAGAAAAAAAGCTAATTCTTCTCTGATGGTTAGGAGTTTTATAATTATGTAAGTCTTTGCATTTTAAGATTTCATTTTCTGGATATGATGTTTGAACTTCTATAGCTAAGGTGTTTTTCCCTACATGTATGTCTATTTGATAATTATTTTTTGAGGTGCAAATGCTTAAAGTTTTCTCGACACTTAATTTCCTTCCCCTGCTCCTTTCAGATGAAAGAAATTGCTACAGAGAATTTTCAGCGGATATGTGAGGCATATGAAATACTCTCAGATGAGAACAAAAGAATGATATATGATATCTATGGTATGGAAGGTTTAAACTCTGGTCTAGAACTTGGACCAAAGCTAAATAAAGCTGAAGAAATAAAAGAAGAACTTGAAAAGTTACGTCGCAGAAAGGAACAGGAAAAGCTGGCCCATATCCGACCTACTGGTTCTATTATGGCCAATTTGTCATTGCCAGACTTTTGTGAGGGTGATGGCATTATGAAAGGGTATGCCATTTGATTTTTATTTTCCCCCTTATTACATGTAATTTTTTCCATGTGTGATTGTATCACTGCTTTTGCAGAAAAAACTAATATTTAATACTGTTAAAATGCCACTCATTGATCTTATAATGGTACCTGCACTTGTAAATGCCAGAATGGCCATGGCCAGTGAGGTCCAATCTCAAATGTCCAAACGCATTGCAGTTGCTATTGGTGGGAACTTAGCTGTTACAGGCAACTCAGGCGGTGGTGCTGCCACTGCTGTACTTAAACACCAGATATCATCAGTTGCTTCCATTGAACTCATGGCATTTGCTGGTTTGCGTTCAATTATTGGTATTGAAACGACACGGTATTTAACTTGTATCTATTTTTGTAATTTAATTTTATCATGCTGATTTTGCTAGTGTGGCACCCCTTTTCTCTACACTTCTTGATTGTCAAGTTTTTACTTATCCAAGAGTTAAAACTGCTTATGTTTTCCTACAGCCACTTATCACCTCACTCCTCTGCCACTGCGGGACTTGCAATGTCACTAAAGGATGGATCTATCAATCTTTCTAATTTATGGACTCGCCAACTGTCTCAGACTTCAAATGGCAATGTAAATCTCTGTCATCACAATAGCACGTTCAAAAATAGAATAAAAAGGAAAATGTGAAGGGAGATACATGTTTGCCTTTGTTATGGATCCATATGCTTGTAGTCATCAATGGTCATATGCAGTCTTCACAACTTTCATATCATGTTGTACACATTGTTGTTTACATGTTGTTTACGCATCATCTTGACAAAAGGCCCTTTTCTTTTTACCAAAATATCACTGGACTTTTTTTTGACAGGAAATATTACTGGACTTAATTTATAATAACTGATTAAACTGCTTTTGTTGGCTAAAACTTTTTTTTACTTATTGAGTCTGGTGTTAATTGATTGAAACTATTTTTGTTGTACGAGGTTACTGATAATTGATCAAAACTGATTTTTACTAGTACTTTTAAAATTTTCTGAACATTATTTCTACTTGTTTATTTGTAGAGAACATGGCTAAAAATGAGCTCTACAGTACTCTGAAATCTCCTGATTCTCTTTGCAGCTGGTAATATAATATTTGAATTTGCTTAACTGTCATTTCAGATACAACTTCTTCTGGGTACAGAATCATCTATTGCTGTTGGATGGCAGAAGAAAGAAGAGAAAATATCTGTTGCTGGAGAGATAAAGGTACCAAAATTCTATTGAGGAAAGTTAGTATTAAAGAAATTATTGTTTGGTAGCAATGAAATATGTTTCCTTAATTTAGCTTATATTTACTGATTAGTTGTGGATATATTATTCTATGATGTTTTCACTGCTGCAGTTTGGCACCAGCTCTTTTGGGGCATCAGCTCATTATACACACCGCTTTTCATCTAAGTCTCATGGGCGTATAACAGGCAGATTAGGAAGGTTTGTCCGTTAAATTATAAAAATTCACACTTTTGACTGATTAATTGTTACTATATATACTTTCTCCTTTGCTACATTGCATGTTAATGAAGAAATTAGGGAAGGTAAATGGGAATTACTAATAATAATTTTTACCACCGATAAGAGGAAATTGTTAGGTTATTGCGGTTTAATTTTATTTAATTAATATGTCTGTTTACCTTCTCTAATTACTTCCTCAAACAGCATGCCAAGGATGTGCGGCAATTATTAGAAAACAGAGGAAATATTTTGTTACATACATCCTGTTTGTGATGAGCCCTTTGTCGAACCATTTCTTTCAAATTTGCAAGTATATACTTTGTACTTGTGCGTTTGGTGTGCTACGTTTGGCTTTTGAATTGAATTTCTTCTCTGTAGCAATGCTCTTGAGTTCGAAATTGGTGGGGGACGTAGAATATCTGATTTCAGCACAGTGCGGATGTTGTATTCTATAGGAATTCAGGTAACTACGGTCTTCTATATGGGCTTAGACTGTTCTGTTCATTTGTAGCATTATGAGAAACTGAAATAATTATTGGCTTTGACTTTTGTCTCAATTGTTATGCTACCTTTTGGTTTCCCCTGACAATTATAAGTTAACTTTGTTGATTGACAGTTTTACAATGAGGTCTATACTAGGTGTGGTTGAAATGGCTGATAGAATTTTTTTTTAAGGAAATTTTAGCTTTTAACACCACACAAAAACCCAAAAATGGTTTTTAACACCTCCATAAAAAAAAAAATGATTTTAACACCACACAAACTAACAAAAAATGGGTATTACCACCACTTAACGATTCCGTCCAAAAATTCCATTAAGTGGGGTCCACAGTAACATGTGTCACCATTTTAGTTGTTTAAAAAAAATAATTTTTTTTTAAAAAAATAAAATAAAAAAACCCTTAAACTACCCCAGCCCCACCACCGCCTACCACCGACCTACCCCTGCCCTCCCCGAAACCACAACCGGTGACACCTTCGCACCCCTAACCCAGCTGAACCCTCCCCCTCCCTTTCCCGCAATGGCTTCGCCCCCAAAAACGACCAAACCCAAAATCTCCTTCCCTAATACGGTCGTGATTCCGGCCACAAATGGCCGAAATCGGCCGGTTTTGGGACTGAGTTGCCTTGATCGGCCGATGTCGGCCATTTCTGGCCGGAATCGTGACCGTATTAGGGAAGGAGGGTTTTGGGTTTGGTCGTTTTTGGGGGCGAAGCGGTTGCGGGAAAGGGAGGGGAGGGTTCAGCTGGGTTGGGTGAGCGAAGGCGTCGCTGGTGGTGGTTTTTGGGAGGGTAGGGGTGGGTTGGTGGTTAGGCGGTGGTGGCGCGGTGGTGGGGCTGGGTAGTTTTAGGTTTTTTTATTTTTTTTTGCCAATAAGAAAGAGACACGTGGCACTTAACTAAATCCGTTTAGGAATCCGTAAAGTGGTGGTAATACCCATTTTTTGTTAGTTTGTGTGGTGTTAAAATCAATTTTTTAATTTTTTATTTTTTTTTATGGAGGTGTTAAAAACCATTTTCGGGTTTTTATGTGGTGTTAAAATCTAAAATTTCCTTCTTTTTATTTCATTTTAGTTTTGTTTAACAAATGGTGTTTGTCTAGAATTTAGCCTTTGGCATTTAGCTATAATTTGTTTAAACAGCCTTATTTAGCCAGTTTTCTTAGCCAAAATGAATATGCTGATTAATTCACCTTATTCTCCAGCTTTTATAGTCAGAATTCATGGATGACTTAGATCAGTTTATTAGCTGACCTTATCAATTTCTAGTAGCCAATTTATGTTTAATTTGAAGTTTAACGACTCAGGGAGTCAATAAAAGAGTTGTGCTAATAGTTAGTCGTGTGAGCCAACAACTGATTGACAAACCAGTCAATACAAAGAGATAATGTGAAAGACCTCGACAAAGCCACTTTTCCCCATTACTAGGAATAACTGTTGCTATGAAATTAGCAACTGTATTGCGGTATTACCTATACTATCTACATGAGACGCGGAGAATGAAGTAAAAGTGGAATGAAGCCAAGTAAGATCTTCCTACAATAGATCTATAGGAACGCATCCAAGTTTGTAATTGTTGATCTTTGTTACGTCCTCAATTGCTTGAATGTCAAGCTCTACATAGTGGTAGTTAGCTCTATGAGCCATCATCAATATACCCTAGCTGCTCCTAATTTTTCTTTGACCTTATCTTAATACTTCGTCCGTTTTTTTTATTAAATGCATCACTGTCCACAAATGGAACTTTCAATTTAGATGCATCACTTCCTTTTAAACTAATAAATTTTCTCTATCCCTCCCATATCACATGAGCCTTCTTTATTTTTTCTCTCCATCTTTCTCCACTCCAAAAATTGCCTACAAGTCCATAATATAAAAAATGATACATCTAAAAAAAAAGGAAATATATTGTAGCCATCAATAGTCCTTGCGCTGCAACATAAAGCCCCACAATTGAACAAGTTGATAATTAAGGATGCTGATAGAAGTTGCTTTTTTGACCTATTTACTTTGTTATTTATGGTGAACTTTTTGTCCCCTCCATTAATTATTCACCTTATTTAATGAAAATAAATTCTTATTTAATAAGTAACATAGTGGTTTGCGACTTTATCATTGATGATTTGGACTCTTATAATACAAACAAATTGGATAAATTTTTAGGTTAGCCAAAAATCTTCATCAAATATCACGTGCTTGCCAAATCTAGAGAATAGCTACACTTCCTCAGTTCCTTCTCTGCCTCTTCTCTCTCTTAAGCTCATTTGCCGACCAAACAATGTCCTACATATTCAATTTTACAGATTAAGATAAAAAACGAGTTTTTATACGGGTTCGTTCAATACATTTTAGATCTAAGCGTGAGTATTTAAGTTCCGTGCAATCGATAATTATCAAGACTTAGATTAAGGTTATTTAGAGTTTTAGATTTTATGGGATTTATCGGTTAGTTATTCATTTTAAGTTATAATTTTGGGAAATTCTCTTTGGTACTTACAAGATTTTTAATTTTCTCTTTGGTGATAAGCAAAAATTTCAATTATCTTTGGTAATCATGAACTATTGTTATTAATCCAATGATGACATTTGTTACTCGGTTTGACCATGGTTAGTTTTTTTTTTTTTTTTAAAAAAAAAAAATTAAATAGTTTTAAAAATGATTTTGATTGGTATTATAATAATAATTTATTAAAAATTAAAGCGATAAACGAACAAAAATATAGAACCTTTACCCTTTCCTCCCTTGCCGAAGCCCCCCTCCCCCTGCCAAGAAGCACGCTGAAATCAGCCACCCTCCCCTGCTCGAACCAGTCGCTGTCCTCTCTTCCCTCCCTTGCCGCCCGCCTCCCTCCCCCAACGCCCCCGAGAGTTCACACTAGGTTCTTTCATCTTCAAGCTTCGGTTCAACTCTAACCGCCGATTCAACTACTCACTATCGGCGCTGATTTTGACTCGTTCGAGGAGAGAGAAGACGCCGAAGAATTTGTCGGAGTTCTATGTGGGTTATTTAAAATTTCTCGAGGGTGTGGGGGGGTGGGGGCAGATTTAGGGGTTTATAGTGGGGGAGGAGAGGGAGAGGGTTTTGAGGAAGGGGGGTTGGGTGCTTCAGAGGGTTGCACGGGGAAGGGGGTTTAGCTTTAGCGCGGCGCCGCCAGGGAGGGGATCTGGGCGGGGCAGGGGTGGCTGGCTGGCTGTGGGAAGTAATGGTGGTGGTTTTTTTTTAATATTTTAAAAACTATTTAATTATTACAAAATTTTAAAAAACTAACCCTAGTTAATGATTTTAATAAAAATATATTATTAAGGTTATAGTTTATTTATACTAATATTTCGTGATTATTAAAGATAATTTAAATTTTTAACGTTCACCTAAGAGAAAATTAAAAAACTTGTGTGTACTAAAGAGAATTTCCCTGTAATTTTATGTTATGATATTTTAGATTTTATTGTGATTTTTGTTAAACGAGTAAGATAGAATAATTGGTTTTGTTATCTTGGTTTTATATTTAGGGAATTAATCATTTCATCTAAACCTATATAAGACGTTAGGTTATAATTATTTATCATGAGTTTAGGGAGTAAAACCAAACACAAAACCGCACTATTGTGCATCTTCTTGTTTGCGATTGACAACACTCAATTCCTGCTATCCTAGTTGATTGATTGGACAAAACGATCATTTAGACCTTCCCTCAGCGTTTAAAAAAGCACGCCTAAGGTAAGGCACAAGGCGCTAAGGGGTAAGCTCTTAACTTGGTTTGGCAAGGCATTGGTAATTTGGCGCATGTGAGGCGCACTTATTCAGTTAATTTAATTTTAATAGTTCAAAACTTCAAATAGAGGAGGTGCACCTTATCACAACAGATTCCCTCTTGCGTTAGAGCGCCTTAGAGCTTTCTTATACATTGCCTTCCCCGTTATCTATCAAACAGTCTCTTGGTGCCTTTTTTTCATTGTTATAATTATATTATTATTGAATTGATACATTGGATTATTGTTATCATTATTGTTACTCCTCCGTTTTTTTTAGTTGCATCACTTTGCAAATTGCAGATTCCTAGGCAATTTTTGGAGATGAGAGAGATAGAGATAATTAGGGGGGGGGGGGATAGACCCATGCGATAGGAGAGAGATAGAGAGAGTTTATTAACGAAAAAGGAAAGTGATACAACTAATTTAAGACTTTCGTTTTAGGAAAGTGATGCAAATAAAAATAAAAAGAAACAGAGGAAGTTTTTATTTATCATTAATATATAAGAAGTTTCTTAAAATGAGAAGAATGAAAAGGATGAAATGTGCATGAGTTTTTCACTAAATATGCATATTTTTTTTCACTAAATGTGCAAAACTGATTTTTGAACTAATAAAGATTTTGATTTTTCTAGAAAACTAGAAAATGTGCACATTATGAACAAAATATATGCACAAAAAATCCTTCTCATCCTTCTTATTTTAAATGTGTATATATATATATATATATATATATATATATATAGAGGAAGGCTCATGTAAGAACCCTCCTCTATATAAGAACTCAATCTTATATAAGAACCAATCTCAACCATTTATTAGTTTTGATCCAACCATCTAAAACCATCCTTTAGTAATGGCATTTCTGTAATTCTTTTTTTATGTTCTAAATTTTTTTGCCTACTCTTATGTTCTAAATCTAGTCTACCTATTTTCTAATTTTTTTTTTCTATGTTCCAAATTTAGTCTACTTATATACTAAAGTTTTTTTTTTTTTTTTTTTTTTTTTTTTTTTTTTTTTTTTTTTTCTTCCTATGTTCTAAATTTTTCCAACCTATGTTCTAAAGTTTTTTTTCTTCTTCTTATGTTCTAAATATTCTTTTACCTATGTTCTAAATTCTTTTGCCTATGATCTAAATTCAGTCTACTTATGTTCTAAAGTTTTTTTTTCCTAAGTTCTAAATTTTTACTACCTATGTTCTAAAGTTTCTTT